TCATATTAAATTCAAATTTTCTTTCTTGATGCTATTTGAATCTAACTAAAGTTGGCTAATGCCTCAGTTAACTTGAGAACTTAAGAAGAAATTCATTTTAATAGTGTTATTTTTATGGACAGTTAGTGAGAATCTGTCAAAAAAAAAAGGGAAATCAAGTACACTAAGTAAAAAAAAAACAGATATAGTCCCATGTGAATTGATCATGTTAACACTGAAAAATTAAGGTGGATACATTACTGTGTTGGTGACTTTTACGTTAACTTAAACTGTGACAGCTTCATTCAAATAATTAAAATTGTGCTAAAAGTTTTTGTTTTCTAAGAAAAACTATTTTTGAGAGAATACATTTTCATTGATATTAAAACATTTTGATATGTTTTGTCATATTTAAATCATTTTAGTCCTTTTTAAATATCTGCTAAGATGGGAAAGTTGACATTAAATGTTCAATATAATATTGACCAGAAGAAGAAGAAAAAGAAACAGCAACCTAAGCAATCTTACCAGCAAACACAAAATAGCAGACTTATCATTGGTCTCATTGAATGCCTGGGAACACAAGGTGAAGATACATTTTATGGTTGCTCCAATAAGTGACTTTTAGTTTATGAAACTAATCGCATAAAATAGGATAACAGAAATCTGGTCTGTAGAAACTATAAAGTAAATAGTTTTCTTTGGTTCTTCCTGGACATAGTAGTTAGTTGGGTTATTTGCAGCTATTTCCCTTCATCTAGTCCTTAATGAGGATTTAATAAATGTTGACAAATTTAGTTATCATTGTATTATATACTTCAGTGATAGTCAAGGTACTTCTTATTCACTTTTTGATTTTCCCTTTTTTATACAATATCAACACCTTGAACTCAAGAACTGTACTGCATATCTCTCTTTGTCTATGTCTCTTAGACAAGAGCTTAATAAATATTTAGCTGATTGAATTACTCTGAGTCATATTGAATTGAATTCCCTCAGCCATCTGGCGCTACTTGGCTCTCTGGCAGAGAAAACTAGTCCAGAATTTTAATCATTGTGGACAATTAAAGTTGGTAGACTTAAGATATAAATATCTGGATATACAACTCATTCTTTTCTTCCTACTCTGCTTCTAAGCAAATTAGAAAACTTTTTTAACCAGAATGGACATAAGAAATTTATAAAATGTGTTTACCAGTTTCTTTCTGTATAGACTGTACTGAACTTCTAGATCATCAAAAATTTATTATGTGCTGTACCTCTCACACTATTTTGAGTCTACTGTTAATAGCCAGTGTCTATTTTTTAGCTTATATTTCAAGTCCATTTTGTAGTTTCTGTGGTTTATTCATGTTGTGACCTGTGAAATAGATGTTTTAAGATATTTTTTTTGTATAATACTGTATTGTATTAATGACTTTTAATTATTTGTGTTACATTAATTACTCATACAATTAAAAATCTTACTTTAATATAAACATACAGATTTGTATATGACAAAAAGGCAATGCTCAACATACAATATTTAAATAAACATACTTTACAGTGAATGTAAGTTGAGGCCAAGATGTATTTTCTTCATGAAGCATAAAAAACTTAAAGTCCCCTGCATATTGTCTCCAACATTATATATAATTAATTTATTACATAATCATCTTTTCCTTCAGAAAGTTCTTTTCCAGCTCTTACTTCCTTTACAGTAGGCATGTGATGTTAATGCTAAGTGTTGCAATGCCTGTAGGTTGGTTTAGCCGTAGGAGTAATGTGTGTTCCTATTACTAGACATAGGGGGAGAAAGTGACAGACATCCCACTGTAGTGGGGAATGTTCTGGGAGCTCAGAATAGGGAGCAGTGGAGAGAATTACACTAGTAGGATGAGGACAAGACTAGAAACCACATGTGTGGAGAGGGAGAAAAATAAAAGAATACCCCAAAACAATTAGCCAACAAGATCCTAGAAAGAATGGATGAATATAATTTCTCAGATAAAAACCATTGCTGCTCATAGGGTTAAAGCAGAGGGAAGCTTAGGAATGCAAGCAACTAACAATCAGAAGACCTAGGATGTTATATTGTTTCTGCCACTATTTCTCTCCCTATGGCTAACTAACTTCATTTTCTCATTTAAGAAATTAAAAAGCATGATTATGTCAGAGAATATATATATATTCATTTTTAATATGATTACATTATACATGTGACATGTATGTATATGTGTATGTTAAAGTCCATTTAGAAAAAAAAAGAAAGAAGAAATAAAGAGAGGGGGAGAGAAAGGGAAAGAGAGAAACAAAACCCAGTGGCTAAATTATCACTCCTAAGGCTCTTTTATTTTATTATGAAACAAAGTCAACCATAATGAACTTAAAGCATTTCTTTGTTCAACTCTCAATACCAAGAAGCATTTTCCTTTT